GCTGGACTATATTCCAAAGACGTGTAGATGGCTCTGAGGACTTTTACAGAAACTGGATCGACTACAAAACTGGATTTGGTAATCTGTCTGGTGAATTTTGGCTGGGTTTGGACAAGATTCATCGTTTGTCAGGCAGTGGGCAGAATATACTGAGAGTTGACCTCGAAACTTTTGAAGCAGAGTCAGCTTATGCAATTTATAAATCATTTTCTGTGGGAAATGAAAGCGAATTTTATATTTTAAATTTTGGTAATTACTCAGGTAATAATAAATATATAGTTATAAATTCCTTGAATGCATGTATTCGGAAATAATTCCGTCAATTAGACTGAGGTGCCTCCTTCGTCATTGGCAATTCCCGCATGCACTATACTGTATTGGAAATGAAATGGCCGCGATACTGCAAATGTGAGTAATATTGCTTCTTTTCAACACGTTTTTTGTAATTTTTCATAATTATATATATTTCAAAACAAGAAACGTCTTTGTTTAATTTAAGAAATAACGAACGAGTCGCGTGCGTTTCTGGGGTGATAATGCACGCGGGTAATGTTGGAAGAATAGGAGGAAGTCGTGTAAAACACGATCGATGCGTAGCTGAGTGTTTTACACGTTTCTCTCGTATATTTTAGCCTACAGTCCTTTCTCATTAATTGTTCTCTCGGTAGAAAAGTATTGACTGAATCAAATACATTTAATTTACTTACATGTATGTGGTTTTGAGCGGCGAAGCAAGTAAATAGCTAGGAAACGTCCAAACGCCAGGCCTAATTTTTCTCTCCTAGGCATTTCTGGTACCACATTCTTTTTACAAGCATGTGTCTAGTTCGTTTTCACTGAAACTATATGCTTTTTGTGTGTTTCTTACAATTAAGTTTTGGTCGCATTTTCGCATTCGTGTTCATTCTTCAGAAACTCCGCGGACGCGATTGAGCAACGCAACGAAATCTTGCAGTATCAAAACGTAAATAAAACCTTATGTGAATGCAAATTTTAGTAGACATCTTAAGCAAACCTCGAAATATTAGAGCGCTCGTAAATATTCGAAAAACCTAAACCAGGATAAAAGTTAGTTATCAGTGAAAACGTATACAGAAAATGTTAGACGGTTGCGAGGAGATACGAATTTCATGTTCGAGTGGCAAAAACAATATCTCACAAGTGAGCGTAGCGAATGAGTGAGATATTAGAGAGGTTAAGATACCCCGGTTTCGGTGTACGGGTACGGGTAGCATGATTTTGGTTGGCAATATTTTCGTCGATGTCTGTACTTTTACTCGTAACTAAGGTGCACACTTTTCGCATTGTATCATTGTCTATTGCAAGAAAGCAGAAAAAGTATGATCGAATTACAGACATCAGTAAAACAAGATGACACTACTCGTACCCGTACACCGAAACCGGAGTATCTTAACCTCTCTATTGTTTTTGACACGTGATCCTCCATATCTCCTCGCAACCGCTTAATGTTCTGTTTATTATATGACAAAATACACGCAAATACGACATGTAAATAAGCACGCGAATATAGCTGTGTTCTCTTATTCACTAAACGTGCTGGTTCCTAAACATTTCCCGAAATTATAACTATGCATTAAACATATTAGAAATACATGCATGCAGTAACCCCTCGCCAATATTTTCCAAACATTAAATTAACATGAAGTATTCAGAAACAGATATGGCCCACTGAAGGCAGGCTCGCGCTCAAGTGTTGCCATGACAACACGATATTCCTAAATTTTTAGTTATTTCATATTTTTTGTACAAAACTGCAAGATAGTTGAAAGATTCGTACTTTTAACTATACAACAATAAATTTCCGAAATATATACTGTAGGTATATTATTTTGCATTTTGTGAGCTTTGAATTAATGAAAAATTTAACTTGAAATTAAACGCTTCATAAAATGTTTTGAAACGCTCATTCAAATTTAAATTACATTTGCCGATAAACTAATAATAAAACATAATAAGTTACAAATAAAAAAAATTGTTATGTAATTTAAGTTCAGTCTTCAAATCAATTGGTTCTCCTTTACCTTTTAAGATTTCTTCTCAAATTAAATGGTAATTTATGAAACTTAGAGCTTCGTTGAAAAAAAAAACAGTTCATGTTTTTAGGCAAAAAGTTAAAGCAACAAAATTCGTAAACATTAAATATTCAAAGCAAACTTGCCATATATTTCACGATTTCCCATAGTAAATCAATTCTTCTCATTTCTTCAAACAAAATTGCTTCAAGCATGTGTTGTATATGAAACGATTTTCCAAATATATGTCTTTTAAAATTGAAATCTTGCTCGTCCCCACTCCTACAAGCAATCAGCCTTATTTTTGAGATCAGTGAGGATGACCACCCACTCAACACCGTTGGCGAGCCACGCCCGCGATCATTGATGAACTTTAGACTTCGCTAATGCTTTCGTTTCCCCGGGTGTAAATAGCCGGATGCATGGAATTAGTATACCCTCGACCCGGGCTTACGCCCGGAACGGCGCTCCTCGCCGTTGGCTCGGGGACAAAAAGTATGTTGTGCTTTAATTATATAGAAGCAAATATTGTGCAGTGGAATATTATCTCTCAGCAATTAGAAGTTTCCATTCCAGACCCTTCACGTCATTTGCAAAAATTTTAATGTGTTCTGTGTCAGTAAAGAACGTGACGTATTTACAACAATTTGATATAGGTACCGCTGGTGACTCCTTAAACTATCACAATGGTATGCAGTTCACAACGAAAGATGCTGATCATGACAAGATAATGAATGGAAATTGTGCTCGAAGGTACCCCGGAGCATGGTGGTATAATGACTGTCACCAATCCAATTTAAATGGTTTGTATTATCATGGCCACCACAGTTCGTACGCTGATGGCATAAATTGGTATCACTGGAAAGGTCACTATTACTCCTTGAAGAAGACAACGATGAAAATAAAAGGAATTTAAAGAATCAGAATAGTCAGAAAAAACGTTTGTCGAATACGTAATAAAATATTGATTTAAAATGACCTCGTTGGCTTAACACTTTTAGACAAATAGGAATTGGGTATAATCTTGTGTAAATTAATACAAAATAAATTTCATTTGTGCAAACAATATTTTTACAATACCGGGTGGGGCAAAAAATAGTACGACTGTTTGAATTGCTGCAAAATCAAAACTAAAATTGAAATGACACTAAAACAAGTTTGTTGGCATTCAGCGATATCCAACTTAAATTTTGATATATGCCATGCACATTTCCATGCCATATTGTCGACGATACATGCATTTAAACAGGAGTAAACATTTTTAGAACTGACGAAATTAGCTAAAAATGGCTTATTAACTATTAATACATACGCATTATACTTTATTACGCATTAAGACGCATTATACTTTATTGTCAGTACGTTCACTCTTGTGGTTCAAAAACAATCGTCTACATTCATCAGTAAATGCATCTCCCCCAGCACGAATGCAACGTCTTGCCCGTGAAATTATACAATCGAGAGAATTTTGGATCATTTGCTGTTTCAAGTTGAGGCATTCTGTAACAATCGCTCCACGAAGCTCTCTTAAATTGTGCTTCAGAACCGGAGTTACTTGAATCGCACATAGACTTGTCCCAATCCGAATTGGAGGTAGTCTCTCGTGTCGAGATTTCATTCAACAAGGTGTGGACCCAGAACAACTGACCTCGTCCAGCCAACCCACTAATTCGAACAATAATCGCGAGAAAATGGTAAAGGTTATTCAATTGGTTTTAATAGGGCCTTTTCAGCTAATTCTCGGCGGTTCCAAAAATGTTTGCTTAAGTTTAAATACAGTTATCTTTGTCAATATTGCATGAAAAGGTACAAGACATATATCAAAATTTAAGTTAAACATCGTGGAATATACGATGACTTATTTAAGTGTAATAGCTCTTTTACTTTTTATGTCATAGTAAATCAAACTATCCTACTTTTTTTTGCCCCACCCGGTAGCAATAAACATACTATACCGGGTGCATGGGAAAGATTTGGATCCCACTTCCAATATTGTTCACCATGCATGCACCTTAATTACTGTCATCGATGCATCAATGTCAGATTGAGGCACTAGCAAGACACTTTGGAACTACCTTAATATTATTACTGTTATCGATGTATCAGTGCCAAGTTGGGATAGCAGCAAGCAATATCCGCTGAAAATATTCTTAATGGTTACTATTAATGCATCCAGGGCCGTAGGTTGCCCCCAACGAGTGTGGTCTTATTATCGTTTAGTTCTAGTCTATGTTTAAGTAACAAACCACATTAGTATCACGATTTGTAACAAATTCATCAGCACGCATCTCTACATCTTCCTGAATATAATTTGTTACTCCAGAATCGTACCTCAGGGGTTCACCCGGAGGAGTATTGTTTGCATCAACAATTCAATCAGATTCCAAGCTTTCACAGACTAAAATCATCCATGCGGATCGGAGTTGCACGCATGAAGTTTGACGTGCTTACCTAAGACCTACACGATGCCCTGGAGAGTGAATAATATTTGGGAACTGTTTATACCATACTTGCCATTAAGTTGGTGCAAACGATAGGTGGCTGTTAAATGATTAAATTATTATATTGGTAATGATTTAACAATTCATTGCTTATCATTATTGCTATGATATTCTACGAACCTGCGGTTCTGCGAATCTGGATTTCCAGTGCCGCGCTCTAACCATGCAACTGAGCTACAGTGTCCAGTTGCTGAGGATTAACGACGAATTCATGCATGTAGATAAAATGACGTGATGGTAGGATGGTGTATGGATAAATATAGTGTTTTTAGCATGTCGTTCGTTTGAACTCGTACGTTCGTTTTAGATGCAAGGAGGGCCCAAAATCTGGACATTACCCATATACTTTCTACTAATATCATCCGCTGCACTGATATTATACATGAATCTGTGGTTACAGCTTGGCAACTGTACTCTGTATATCCGAGTTGCCTGGTTATGGAGCGCTGAACCCTAATGATTGAAAGGCACTAGGACCGTCTCCAGCCCTGGTTAGGTCTAAAGGGGTCGGCTATTTTCCGAGTTGCGAGCCTATGAGTTAGCGAGCGAAGTCTAAAGTTTATCAATAGTTTATTTGACTTTACCATGGGTAACTACGACGGAGTTAAAATTTGGGAACTTGTATGTCTTTTCACTCTAAACCATCTAGGGAAAAAGTGTGGCAAAGAAAACATCGGCCTATATAGAGACGACGGATTGGCTATCATAAATAATACATCAGCACTTTTGGCAGATGGAATAAAATTTAGATTTCCAACTATAGTGATACCGCATCATTGAAGAATACTCTCTCCTAGGTATGTAGGGGCAACAGTTTAGACTACTGAAAATCTATCCTTAATAAATACAGTTACATAAGTAAATACAAAATTGAAAGTAAATACATTCTAACCACTTGAAGTATTTAATCCCGTATATTTGAGCGATACATTAAAAAGTTATTGACGGAAATGTTACCTCGACAAGCTTACACTAAACCACGATACAACTACCTTAGCATATTGTCTCATAAGGTTGCATATCTTGCATATCTGAGCATGCCCAAATGCCTGGCAGCCCAATCATCTCAAAAATTATGACTGGGCAATCACCATGTTTTAAGTAAAACCAACGGTGGCCATATATATTTTTATGACGCACAATTGGAATCCGTCATCAGTGCATGGTTTCTCTTTCTTCCTACAATCAACAGTGAAATAATAAATGATATCAAACTACTATATTTGTCTTTACCTAATATGTTACTATGTAATATTTAAAACGTTTTTCACATTACAAGGTTAATGGTTGCAATGATATCGCTACTATGATATACATAAGAATAAGAAAAAGAAAACGAGTTGTTTTATCAATCAAAATATACAAAGCGCGCGAATATTCTTCGTGAAACATGTATCCTTATTTCCAAGAGACAGAAAACGGATCCGATACCTTGATGAAACAGCAATCTGGAACTGACATTTTACAAGTCAGTAATATCCCCACAGTTTAGGCAGTCAGTTTATGAAAATTGAACAGTCAGAAGGAAAACGAGAACAGCCAGAGGAAACCCCTTGAAGCACATGCAGGAGAGAAAGCAATAAAAGTTGTCTCCGAGAAGTCATGATCAAGCATGCAAAATTTTAATTTCGTTGTGGAGCTCTGTTCTGCTGTAAGCTTCCTACCGTCTGCAGTGGGCATAATTTTAATGAATATCAAAAGTAGACAATATTGAACAATTGTTACGGCCTGGGGAATAATTTTTTATAATTTAAATTCAAGTTTTAATACAGTGATATTTTCCTGGAACTAAAGAAGGATATTTTTGTACGTTATTTCTAATAAATCCTGAGATTACCACAATTTCCAAGCAAATTCGCTTCAGAAAATGTCGATAATCCTGCCCTTTTGAAATAGAAAATCAGAAAAAAATTCTGTGGGATGACCCCCTATTCCTCCTACTTCGAATAAATTTAGGTAAACTTCTCCTTTCACAATCCCTCCCCTGTAACGTCCATGATCTTTCTGGCCTGAGAAACACACCGTTATTCAGGATAAATACGGCTCTATGGCTCAAACGTGGCGGTCGCCAAATTTTAAACTCTGTCAATTCTTTTAAACGTTTTAGTACTTTCGTAATCTATCAAACGATTTTGTTTGATATATGGTCTCTTATTACCAAATCGAGATCTTTAACATTATAGTTAACGCTTATGGCATCAAAACTATTTGAAAAGTTATGTTTTGCATGGTCTGGCGACTACGAATCGTTGAAACAGTTCGTAAAGGACGACCTAAATCTTGAAGGAACATGGTCACAGCCTGGTGGGGACAGAAAACTCTTTACTCTTGGTGATTCTACTATATTATGGAAAAAGAATAAGAATGTTTTATGTCTTGACGGAGCTAGAGCGAACGAGATTATGCAAAGTCTGTGCAAGTTAATGTGTTCTTTCGAAGCACCTATATCAGTCGACCGGCAGCCAAGCATGCACTCGGCTGCTGTTTGTGATACTCTCGGAAACCTCCAACGGGGCCAGTTGGTGAATTCAGAAGCGATTCAGGCTTTATCAGGAACGATCACTCACATAACATCTGTGATGTCGCAATTTCAGAACTTTATGGATAAACATAATGCCGTCCATTGCGATATAACTTTGAATACAGCGAGTGAGGTATTTGAATATGGTAATCATGAAAACATTTGCGATGGCAACAAAGCAACAAATGATAGCCCCATTGGGTCAAATGAATTTACAAATCTTAATGTTAGCAATGCGTTGGAACCAGTTATTTATACAACTGGTTCTGAACATGGTAACCAAGAAGCCACCCATGGTGCAAGCGAAGCTATTAATGTTAGCTCTCTTGCCCCTAACGAACAGACTAATCTTAGTGAGACCGAACGGTTAAAATCTAATAATAAAATACTAAATGTTGAGCAAACCTCAATGCAAGGACATACGTTAACTTACGCAGATATAGTGTCATCTTGTGAGACTGTTACAAGCAATAAACACAAATCTATCTCCCAAAAATCATCATGCAAAACCAAGGAGATGTCTTGCGATCCTGACGGCTTTATTGGTGTGGAACGCAAGCGAAGAAAAACAAAGAAATTCTTTCTAACTGGCATCGCAGAAAATGTGAATGAAAACCAGATCCTTTCTTATCTAAACATAATTCCAACATATATATCTATCTTCCCCAGTAAAAACATAATTCCAACATATATATCTATCTTCCCCAGTCGTCGCCGAGGCGTACCCTCATCGAAGATTCATGTCCCTTCGGCTGCCAGTTCACTAGTGCAAAAAGAGAACTTTTGGCCTAAACATGTTACCTGTAAACCCTGGCGCGCAAAGGATAACATCAAGAACCCCGTGGAGAGGGAAACTAACTTGACCCATAAGGGAACTCTTTCTACATATGTATA